GAAAGAGCAACTAAACACCTAACAAAATAAATCATTATGATGCAGGGAAAGAGCAAGCAGTCAAAAAAATGCCCTATGCTTGAAAAATGGGAAAAGCAAGAATAAAAATTGGAATGAAGAGATTCTTGCCATCTAATACCAGGTGCAAGGGAATCATAGAGGAGGTGTTCATGTTCTAATTGCTGAAACACCACCCTTGAGTAATGTCCTTATGCAAGGTTGTATTTCTAAGAAACTGGTGCAAACCATGCAATTGTTGCATTACTTGTGTGTCAGTTTCCTCTTTAGAAAATGGCAGAACTGTGAATGCAATCTACATTGAAAAGGAGTAGGAAAAATTCACCATCTCACAGTAACATGCCGACACCATTTTGTGCCAAAGGCAACAACTCCCTGAACTTGTTGTCCATTTCCCTGGCTGGATGACTCAGTTTGCCCATTCCCCACTTCACCCCAGTGCCCAGAGCAGTCCCTGGGGCTGGCCAAGTGATGTATCCCCTTTGTCAGAGCTGTGTGTGGTGACAGCCAGCCTGGCCTTGCTCACTCTCAGCAGAAGGGACTGACAGGCTGTCCCCACCCGTCTGCTGAGCAGGGGCTTTATGTGCTTCTCCCACGTTGGCACTAGCTCAGGGCTCTCCTGCCCAGCCCATACCACTCTCATTGTTCACATCTCCTTCACAAAAACCTGCTTGGTTCAAGCCAAAGGAGGCTTTTCTATGAAAGTCAGATTATACACTTGAGTGTGATTCAATCAGTAGAGATGGAATTGATATAATATCAAGTTTGAAGTAACTTAGTATCATGTAACTTTGCTGTCCTAAACCAGCTCTCCTAGTCCATTTAACTCCAATTCAAATGTCCTCCATGGCATGCCACCATGTGTCATCCCCTCCTGCATCACACCACCTTAGCAGCTGTTTGTGCAGATCACGAGCTTTTAAAGAAGACCTTTAAGATTTTCTTAATATAGTCTGACTTCAGATCATCCACAAAATGTCTTCAGATATTAAAACCATTTTCTGTCTGACTCAGACACAAACTAGTTTTAAGTGACAGTTCACCCAGGGAGAATTGTATTATTTAATTATAACCCCTCCTTCCCTAAGTGGCTCTATTTCCACCTTGTGGGTGGTTTAGAAGTACGTTCTTCTTAATTTGAAAATTATGGGTTTGGTCACATTCAAGAGTTACTGATGAACACCATTTATAACATCTTAACACAAAACCACTTCTTTTCTAATTGTTCCTCCTTCATATTTATCTATATTGGAATAAAAGTTTTCAAAGTGCTGTATCCATGCTGCAGCACTCATTACTGTTCAGCCAGCTGAGCTGCAAATACGTGCCTGTTTCACCAGTCATATCCCAGGGTGTAATTCAGCATCACCATTTATCCAGTGGCAATGGTTCTTTGAGCTCCATCATTTGAAGCAGCTCCCAAATCCCTTCCTCACAGCTCACTTGAGGGCTGCACTATAAACCAAGCCAGTGAAATGTTTCATGTCATTGTCCAATCTCACAATGTAGTATTTATTTATTACATGTTTAAATCGAAACCACTTACTGACACAAGTCACTTGTACTAGGAAGTTTCCCTGCTACAAGTGTGATGTTAGCAGAAGGCATCAGAGAACTGAAATGACATAAATTAGAACTGGGAGATGGAGTTATACTCCTAATTATTTCTTCCTTATTCCCTTCTTCTTGATTTATTTTATTGCTTCCATTTTGGTGTAAAGATTTCAAAACCAAAAAATGAAGAAAAAAAAGAAAGCTGTCAACCTCCCCATCTCCCCCAGAACACTCCACATGAATCAAGTGCCAAGCTAAGCAAATGCAGCATAACAGACACTCTGCTAAAAAAGTATCCAAGTTTGAGCTCCTAGCAGGAATATTTACAGATACTGGGTAATACCTCTAGGTCCCAAAGATAACTCTAGCTTCTAGTCCTGTGAGCATCACGCACCTTTATTAATATTGTCCCAAAGGACTGTGGGTCAAATTATTTACATGTACACTGCACTAAAGAATATTCTCCCATCTATATAAATAATTACAACTCATAAAAGAGTCCTTTACCTGGTTTATTTTAGGGGACATAGAAACACTGGGAGTGCTTGTCAAAAAAAAAAAAAAGGGAAAAAAAAAGAAAGTAGTGTAATTTTTTCCTTATTCTTTTTTTCCTTTTTCCTCTCAACTTTACTCTGCTGGGTTAGGTTCTCATTTCATTTGTTCTACTCTAAACCATAGATGTGTCAACAAATTACTAAGTACTTGATTAAGTGTGATTTCAGAGTGCTTCATCTTTTCTGCATCAGATCCCCGTGGTCATTCCTAGAGAGCAGCACAGCACACTTTAGTGCCAGCTCACTGCCAGAGCCGAGCAAAACACACTGTGGATGGAATGTGTTAAGAGCTCCTACAAAGCGAGCTGCACCTGGTTACAGTGCAAATCCTCACAAATATCATCACAGCAAGGTCCCCACAGCAACAATACTGCAAATTACAGGGACCCTGAGTCTACCATGGAAGCCTCACAAAATCCACCAATGTTGGTAACCTCACTGTCAGGACTTTTTTTCCCTCCCTGTCTGTACATATTGCTGCTTTTCTGGTTTTTCTCCCCCCACCTTTGCTATCTCTAACTCCTCTCAGTAATTAGAGTAACAGAATCCATCAAATGGGATCCAGACAAAAAGATGCACTGAGGCTGGGCCCTCACACTCTTACACTGGTAACATAAAAAGAGATGAACACAAGAAGTTGGAATTAGCTTTCATAAATGGAGGCAGTTCTCAGTACAAGAGAACAATCTTGTAAAATCTTCAAGAAACTTTTCACTAGACATGTTGGAGGTGCACCTTTTTAATTGTCTAGGCATTCAAAACTAATTTTCCTTCAAGCAAAGACACTGCTTTTCACTGAGTGATAATGTCAATGCTACTTCAAACATTTCAAATTTCAGCCTTTTTGGGTGTCTTATGACTTAAGTGTAAGAATTCTGAGACAGAAGTGGGTAGATGTTTTTGCCCACATTTTCACATTCAAATTAATTCAAATTAATTTTAAATTCTCCCTTTTTTAAAAGGCAAGCGAACATTAGAGAGTACACTGTCTCATAGATCAGCCCCCCACACTGTTTTCCAGGGTATATCTGTTCAACTTTTTCTATGCTTCAGCTATGAAAAAACATGATTGAAAGCAGAATTCATCTCATTTTATTTTAGAGGTTTGTAAGGGAAGCATTTACAGGATTGGAGCTAGGATCCCTTTGTAATCCCTGAAGAGGAACAGCAGTAAGGTAAGATACAACCCCAGCATTTTATGTGCTTGAGATGAACTCCATTTGGAAAGTTCTGCTTCCCCCTGCATCTACTACACTGTACAATACAGATTGTTCACATCCCTGCCTCTTTCAATATGTACTCTTCCCTCACTGCCTACAACCAGCCCATTTCAATTTCAAGGTTTCTGAAGCAAGGATTGTCTTCCTTCATATACATGTGCAACAAATAGGTAAACAGGATCACACCAGCATGACAGTGGCCTTTATTTGCTGCCAAAGTATGAAACATCAAAAACAGTGGTAATGCTAATACCCTGAACAGATTAGCAATTAGAATTCATGGAAAAAACCAATTATTTAAATAAGAATAATACTGAAAGCCTATGGTGAAATAACAAAAAAACCCCAAAAAAACCACCCGCAAAAAAACTCCACCAAACCACAAAAAACCAGCCATTGCATGCAATATCACTCTATAAGGCCAGATATGGAGAGCAATCAAAAAGAAAGCTTTGTCCAGCTTACACAGTCCTTGTTGTGGTTATGGACTCTGATCTGTTCCAGCAGCAATAAATTTTCTTTATGGCTTTTAGCTTTTACAAAGGAGGTGAAAGAGGGACAAATATCATGCTGTATCATGTTGTCTCCACTCCTTAACTAAAAAAAAAATTAAAGTGGGGTGGGTGGGACAAAAAAAAAGGGCTTTTAACAGAAGTGAGGACAAGTGGAGTTCATCTGTAGCTAGTAAAGGTTCCTGATCCCAAATTTCTCAAACCTGGGCTACATTGCCTTTCAAGGTGACTCTATCTTTCCTAAGCTACGCTTTGCTTCAGAATGTGCAAAGGAAGAGAGCCATCACTTCTCAGTCATGCCATACATTAAACACTGCAGGCAGAACTTGGCTGTTCTTACTAGGATCCTCACAAAGTATGTATTCCCCTTGGCACCAGTCATTACAGGTCAGGGCTGGGGAACAGCATGAGGAAAACGGGTGAATGCACCTAAACAAATAAATAAATACATAAGCTTTTGAGCAGGAAGGCTGTCCTTGGTGAACCAGGTACAGGTGGCTTTGTAGTGGAGAGGACTCAGAATTTCTTGAAGCCATCAGAATTAGAAAATAAAGGGTAACAGTGCAGTGCAAGTCAAACTGCTGCACATGTGTAGAGACAAGTGCAGCAATCAAAATTAACCTGAAATTTGTAAAGCATTATTGCAACAGCCCCTCAGACCACCAGGAATTAAAACCTTTGAGACACCTTATTCTCTGTTCACTAAGTAAAAATGTAATTAACCAAATTATATACATCTCAACCCTTACTGCAGCACCCACATTTTTTTCCATATAAAACTACTGATGCAGTTTAATGATAGTTTGATAGTCTCTTTAGCATGCACAATTCTCACCTAAACATGACATTATTTCACCTGTGTTCAGACTGACCTCTCTCCAGTCTAAGAGCAATATCTTCAAAATAATAATATATTCCTCTGCAGGCTCCCTCTAATTTAATAAAACCTTCTCAAGTAAAACTCTTCAGTGGGTGACTGATGTAGTTGTATGGATAAAGCTTTAATAAAATTACTAAGCTACATGTAAAAGCCAAATGTACACAGAAGGGTTTCCTTTCACAAACAAATAAATGCTGAAAACACAATTTCAAGAAAAACTTGCAAAAGGAAAAAAGGGGGAATAACAAAGTAAGGTAATTACCTATCTCCCTTTGGTTTTCTTTTTTGTACTGTCTTCCCTTTGGGTCGTCTTTCACTTCCTAAACAGGGGCTCCCACCAGGGCCTGTTACCCGTATTGATTCAAGGCCTTTGGAAGATTTCTTAAAAGTAAATTCCACAGGTTCTCCTTCTTTTAGGCTTCTAAATCCTTCCATGTAAAGCTTGCTCTGTAAATAGGAAAAACACCGTTGGTTACCATTGCCTTAAAAACAGTATTTACATTTATAATCAACAGGACAAATTACCCCGTGTACCATCCTACAACACACACAAGTTGAGTAACAGCTTCCTCTGCATGAGCTGTAGCAGATATTACAAATTATAGTCCTGGATACACTGAAAACCCCATTCAACACTAAACAAGTGAAAATAACCTATTTTCAGTATCAGCAAAACTGAAATAACATTTTCCTTTTCTGTGATGAATGCTATAGATGAAGCAGAAAAAATGCTGTATTCTTGAAACCCTTAAAAACTCTTAAGTGGTCTCAGGAAGTGAAATGGTCTGGAAAGAGAGCAAGTGCTCACTTCAGAGCAAATTAATTTCTGATTAAAGTTTTAATAATTTGCATTCTTTATATCTGAGACATGGGTCTGCTGCTCTGAAAATGAATCAAAGACACAGCAAGCATGAGAGGCACGAGGAAGGCACTCTGAACAAAGTCTGCTGACATAGGCAATTCAAATATCCCAAGTGAGCTGTTGAATTTCTGTTGACTACACCAAAAAATCTTACCTACCTAGCATGATTTATGTACGGGTTTATATTTTCATTCACAGAAAAGGAAATTTTTATCATCAGGGCAAGTGAAATAAATACTGATAAATATTTTAATAATACACTGCAGTAGAAAAATCTTGGACAAGCTGAAGTCAACAGGAGCTTATCACTGATTCTGATACAATGAAAATTTTCATCATGATTCCGAACAATGAAAATTTTCATCATGATTCCAAACAAATTATGGACCATAGTAAGTAAGCATTCCAGGACAAATCTGATTACTCAAACTCTTAAATAAAATGATAATTGAGTTAAATGACAAGGAGGCTTTTAGGGGTGGTGGAGATAAAGTGGTTGCAATACACTTTTATTTTAGAAATTACACAGTACATGAATGAAAGCAGTTGGATTCACAGAGAATATTACAAAATACCCCAATTTACACACATTTGGGGGCCTTTCAGGAGAGTTATAACACATATTTTCTTCCTTTGCTCATGAATTCCTCAAAGGAAAGAGAAAAAAATGTATCCTGACTGATTCTTAATCCATTCTCTCTAACATTCACTTGGCTGAACCATGGAGTCCAGAAGGAAATCTCCACTGCAGGTGCCACCCCAAGTCAGCCATGTCAAAAAAAGCCAAGTGACACAAAACCTGCATCTGTTATTTGCCAAGTGCAGCTAGGAACATGTAGAAATCAGCTGGCAATCCTGACCTGGGCTCCCTGTGCCCCCAGATGGGAGCTCTGCAGCACCAGACACTGTTCTAGCAGAGCACAGGAACTGACACAGGTCACTGTTTCCACACAGAGAGGGAGCTGGTTTCTCCACAGGGATGCACAGAGAACAGGACCAAGAGCAAGAGCAGCTCCCCTTGAGCTGCTACAGACCAAACTAGTTTCAGACATAAGGAGAAATTGCTCACTATAAAAAGAATTAAACAGAGAAGCCCAAAGTAATAGCTCCCTTTGCTGGAAATATTCAAGATTTGTCTTACCAGGGCACTGAATGACCCAATCCAAGGCCCTGCTTTCAGCAAGATGCTCAACCAGATGTTCAAATCAAGAGGAGCCTTCCAACCCAGGCTTTCTTTTGGTTCTGATTTATTAACCCAGTGCTGGTGAGCCTGAAAACAGGATTACAGTTCCTGGTTCTGCAGCAGAGCTACCTTGGGCCATCTGTGTCACTTAACTTCTCCCCGTTTTTCTGAAGAGGGGTGCCACTGAAAAGTCTATTTTTCACAGCACTAATAGATTAAATTACAAATTATAAAATAATTTGGAATATGTATTTTAATGAAATCATGTAAAAGCACATATGCCTCAGCTTCCTCAAACCCCAAGTTCTCAGTGCATCAGCACAAGGCACTACTGCTGCTGGTCTGACTGAATGGCTCAGGTGCTTATAATTTGTCCAGTAGCCAAAAGTAACCAAGAACACAGCTTCACTCATTAGGAAAAAGGATGGTTTTGTTCATCCAGTTGTGCAGTTCTAGTAGGCTTGGCTCTCAAACACAAATGTAACAGTGTGAAACACGAGACAAATCGCTGATTTTATAGGCTGGAGGTTGAGCACTATTTAAATGTGGGGGAAATAACATGGAAAGGCTGTGGAACACATGAAAGAAGAAATATATAATATCTGTTCCCTGAATCATTACCTTGGCTTTTTTGAAATGTTAAAATTTAAGGCATGAAAAAATAAACAGGCAAATGTTCTTACTAATGCAACTGGAGGACAATAATTGTACACAAACCAATTAAACAAACCACCCAGGAGGGCAGCATTATTTCAAGCAAGCTCTCCACTTTGAAATGCCTGTGTAGCAATAAGGGGATCCTTGCCACAATGAAGAACATCTAAGTTCAGGATGTGCCAAAAGAAGACACCACCACTCCTCAACTGAAACAAATGACACTGCCTGTGGTGTGAGTCCATCTCTAGGTCTGTCCACAACTCTTCAGCCTTCAGTGGCCACCAGGGACATCTTGGTGAAAGGAAAGAACTGAACAATGTGTATTCTGTCCTAAAATAAGCACACAGCTGAATGTTCCAAAACCAATCAGTACAACACAGATGGGTGCTGATCACAAGGGAACCTCAGAGGAATAAGCCCTTATTTTCCTGCAGTACTCAACACAGCATGGATGCTTCTCTACTTGTTTAATTACAACCTAATGAAGATACAGTTAAGTCTCAGTAAGAGTTATGCATTTTCTTCCTGACTTCCATCATTATTAAAAAATGCCAAAAGGTTAACATCTGATACATATAACATTGTCTTCTACTTTACCTCAAAATAAATACTTGCTTCAAATGCAACCTAAAGCAGGGCATTATTAGTATTCTAGAATGTTTTCATTTTTCTCATTTCACTGTTAACAACAGACCTTGATTTCTAAACAAAGCACTCTATTTACAAGAGATTTTTAAACATTTAAAAGCATAAGTAAAGCAACAATCATGCTTTCATGAATCACGTTATGCAGGTGTACATTTTTTGCATGTGTTTTTTTCGAGCACTTTTAACAAAAATGTTGAAAAAGCCCCACTTCAAATGACTTGCACAGTTCTCTCCTTGAATAGATCTCAACAGCTTTTCAATGTTAGAGATGGATTTGGTGCTGTCTGACTTTCTGTGCAAATGTATAGCTCATGGTGAGATTCTCTGAGGGCGCAGTAACAAACAATTCAAAGCCATTGTGAAAAAATGGCATTTGGAAACCAGCAAAACCAATCTAAAACCTGAATCCCTCTTAACTTGTTTAAAGAGTTGGACAAAAAATGTCTGTAAAGTTGATCATTTAATGTTGAGAGACCTAGCTCAGTATTTTCCTCACATTACTTAAACAAATAAAACTGACACAATTAAAAGCAGCCAGAGTTTCAAGTCAGTGAACCATTTCTAGAGCCCTGAATGGGATGTATGGGCACACCGCCAACAAACAAAGAGAAAACTTAAAAGCAACATGCTTTTCCTCCTTTCTCTCTTTCAGCTGTCAGAGACTTTATTGTTATTTTTACCAGCAGTCAATACAGTGGTTTCAGACTGGAGCTTTTTTTTTCTCTTTTTAAAATTTGACAGGACCATTTATGGTGATTTGTTGGGGTTTTTTTTGTTGTTTTTTTTATAATAGATATCCTAATGTAAAATCTCACACCTCTCTGTTACAAGCAATGGCTTGGTCCAAAATGCTGGCAATTTTGTAGTAGTATTGGTAACAACAAATATAAATAGAAAACCCCATGATCACAAGTTCATGGAAGCATTTCCTACTACAAAACAAAAATGAAAACTTAACAAGTATAAATTTTATTAGTAAAATGGTCCCCAAAGAAATGCACTAATTCCTGGGCAGTGTCAGGCAGTTCTTACAGCTTTCACCAGGCTCTACAAAAGAAAGGAAGTTTGGAATTAAGGATCATTACAGGAGCCCTGATTGCCTCAGATATGTGTGCATTACTTTTAATAAGTGTGGGGAGTAAGTGCCTCATCACAACTTTGCCATTTCTAGTCAGGGCTGTGAACAACAGCTTTTGCAGACATTAAACCCTTTAGAGGGATGAGGGGGAAAAGTTATTTGGTGGCATTCTGCTTACCTCGTTTATTTTCTGTATCTCTCATTTCTGACCCTTTTTATCTAATGATTGATTGATTGCTTAGTACAATGACCAGACGCCACCAGTATGCTGAGTTTCCCAAAGTAAGAAAACTGTTTTTCCTCCAAAATTATCTACAATTAAATCCAGACATGAAGGAAAGCATATTCTAAAGCCCAGCTACAATAAAGACTGTAAGAAAATCTCTCTAAAACAACCTCGTACAATTCCATCAAGAGCCGTCAGCCTTTGAGTAAAGCAAGGGCACACAGTGAGAGGACCCAGAAATAAAACAATTTACACTGGATGCATACTTGTGCCCTTCCTTGCATTAGACCAAAACCCATGCAGAATAGTATCAGGTCCATGACACAAGTCCTGCTACAAGGACTTCTGCTGTTGACCAAAAGTTCGTTCTAGGAGGTTTGTGAAAACCATGCATTTTTGCAGGCAGAATGCTAAAGCCAACAAAAAAATCACTAACTGAACAGCCCCTCCAAGGGCAACGTGCAGCTCTGCTGCACTAACACAGGATTTGAAGACTGGGAGCTTGCAAAACACCTCAACACTGCTCCTGCTGACCCTCAAGGGCTTGTTCCTGCTCCTAGGGGCTTATCTTGCACCAAATCTGGCACTTCTTTTGGTCCTCCCCATAAACCAATTTAACTCGCTAATCTGACAGGAAACAAACTCAGTTTAAAAAGAAGGGGGGAGGATAAGAGGAAGAGGAAACAGAGATAGATTTTTGTTTTTCCAGTGAGCTAAATCTATTCACAGAGAAGTTCAATGAGCTCTGGGGCACACACAGTGGAAACAGCAACTTTTTGAGATGAGAATGTAC